GGAGGGGCGCAGATGCAGAACAGGCTGTTCCCTCACCCACGTGTGGTGGATAAAAATTCAGGACAGATATCTCGGGAATGAGGAGTCCTAGCCCGACACGAGGCCCCCACAGCCCAGGGTTCCAGTGCCAGGAAGATAAGTTCTCACAACTTCTGGCTGCAGAAACCAGCGGAGATTGAGTTGGTGGAAGAAACTTCTGGAGCCCAAAGCATTTCCTCTTAAAGAACCCACATACAGACTCATTCCCTCTGAGGTACAGCACTGGGAGAAACTGAAGTTTCAAGGTGAGAGTGGAGGACAGCTTTATCCTAGAAAGAAAGGCAGGCAGAGGCCATTTTCCTTTTTCTGAGCCCATCCCTCACAGAGCCACAGAACCTCAGAACCAGCAGGTGGGTGCCATATCTGAGTCTCCATCAACACTGTTGATGTAGCTAACACTGTTTGCCCCACCCTGGAGATCTCCTGAGACTATGTCCCATCCAACTTATGGGGCTATGCAAACTGTTAACCGTGACTTTTCCAAATGAATGGCTGCTCTAGGCTCATGCTTCGCAACTTCCTAAATCCAATCAAACAAGCAACAGCCAGCCTCAGTAAGCCCCTAGGCCCTGTACCTTTTGCTAAGTGGCCCCAGGCCCAGCACTAGCAGCAGCCAGACTAGATTCACAGCTTGGCTTTGCCCAAGAATCCCCAAGCCCAGCACAAGTAGCAGCCATATCAGATTGCTTTATAGATCAGGCAGGGTAGCCCCAGGCAAAACAAAGGTGGGGGCTGATCTTGGACTGCACCACCTGGGAAGCCCCAGAGCCTGCACACCCAGTGGAGAGCTACAGAGCACCATGTCAGAGTACCACTACCCTGCACCTGCACAGCTGATCCTCCACAGAGGGCAGAGGTTGGTGGTCAGTGTTCACAACCAATCCTTGCAGCTGACTAGCCTGGGTAAATCCCTCCCATTGACCTGCCAACAGCAACCAAGGCTCAACTGCAAGAGGAGGGTGTACTCAGCCCACACACAGGACGCACCTTAAGCACCCAGCTTGGGTGATAGGGGAAGCTGTGCTACTGTACGCTACCAGATACCTACTACATTAGGCCACATTACCAAGACATGGAGTCAAAGCAGCTCTACCTGATACATAGAAACAAACACAGGGAGGCTCCCAAAACAAGGGGACAAAGAAACATGGCTCAAATGAAAGAACAGATCAAAACTCCAGAAAAAAGAGCTGAACTAAATGGAGATAAGCAATCTATCAGATGCAGAGTTCAAAACACTGATTATAAGGATGCTCAAGGAACTTAGTGAGGACCTCTGCAGCATTAAAAACATCCAGTCAGAATCAAAGTATATACTAATTGAAATAAAGAACAATTTACAGGGAAACAACAGTAGAGTGGATGAAACTAAGAATCAAATCAATGATTTGGAACATAAGGAAGCAAAAAACAACCAATCAGAGCAACAAGAAAAAAGAATAAAAAAAAATGAGGATAGTATAAGCAGCCCCTAGGACAACTTCAAGAAATCCAATATTTGCATTGGTAGGGGTGACAGAAGGAGAAAAGAAAGAGCAAGAAATTGGAAGTCTATTTGAAAAAATAGTAAAAGAAAACTTCCCTAATTTGGTGAAGGAAATAGACATGCAAATTCAGGAAGCACAGAGTCCCAAACAAGATGGATGAAAAGAGACCCACTCCAAGACACATCATAATTAAACTGCCAAAGTTTGAAGATAAAGAAAGAATCTTAAAAGCAACAGGAGAGAAGAAGTTAGTTACCTACAGGGGAGCTCCCATAAGACTGTCAGCTGATTTCTCGAAAGAAACTTTGCAGGCTAGAAGGGGCTGGGGAAAAATAGTCAAATTCATGAAAAGCAGGGACCTATAGGCAATTTGCTCTACCCAGCAAAGCTATCATTTAGAATCAAAAGGCAGATAAAGGGCTTCCCAGAAAAGAAAAAACTAAAGGAGCTCATCATCACCCAACCATTATTATATGAAATGCTAAAGGGGCTCATTTAAGAAAAAAGAAAATTAAAACTATGAACCATAAAATGGCAAAAAATATACATCTATCAAGAATTGAATCTAAAAAACAAACTAAGCAAACAAGAAGAACAGGGACAGAACCATGGATACAGAGAGCATTTTGGTTATTGCCAGATGGGAGGAGCCTGTGGGGGAATGGGTGAAGAGGTGAGGGGATTAAAAAGTACAATTAGGTAGTTAGAGAATAGCCATGGGGATGTAACAACATAGAATATGGAGTAGCCAAAGAATTATATGCAAGACCCATGGACATAAACAATGGTGGGCGGATGCCTGAAGGAGATAGGGGTGCTGGGTGGAGGGCGGCCATGGGGGAAAATCAAGACAACTGTAATAGCATTATCAATAAAATATAATGAATTAAAAAAAGAAAGAAAGAAATAACTAATGAACTTGGTTAGCATTGAAGGGTTATCTATTCGAACTTCAGCGAAAACAAAACCTTAATTTTGTCTCAGAGTTCTTATATTGAGTTCTTTTAAGATATACTACTAATCCCATTCATTTAGAATACTAATTCAGGTTTCAGATGGAAGCACATTAGTAAGGAAATAATAGGATAAAATTCTCTGTCTTTATTATAGTGTTTTTAAATTTGTTCAGTTTTTTTTGGGGGGGGGTAGTTCTCTTCCAACCAGTGTAATTTGGTTAGGTAACTTATGATGAAATTGGTCCAGCAAGGGGAATTTGGATGTATGTTGAAATTCTCCCAGATTTTGGAAGAAAAATGTTATTTTAAGCATTCTGGTCATTTTTGGTGGAGTGAAGGTCTTGCCATGAAGTTGTCATTGGCAGGTTTACAGACCACTAAACACGGCTTCCTCATTTACAAAAACCACACACACATAAACACACACACACACACACAGTAGAAATAATGTGAAAGCACGTAACTCTGTCAAAGAAATGTCATGCTTACATAGCCCAATAGAAATAGAATACTGATTAAGATGGGAAGCTGATTCCTTTCTGAAGTTTTGGGCTGAACCCTCTTCCAGGTTTTGACACATACATAAAATAATCACACACCCATTTACAATATATTTATTCATTTGGTAAATTTGCAAATTAGAAGAGGTGGGAGTAGCAGGGAGATAAGATGACAACAAAGATTAGGAACTGAAGAAATTTGGGAGACATAGAGTTGCTATAGAGTTGGCTAAGTGGGAAAATCTTTATGGATTCCTTTGTTTTGACTTGTGTGACTAGAGAAAGAAACTCCTTTATAACTTTCTATTTAAGACTCTGGATTTACAATTGTCTAATAACTTTTAAGAAATCATCAAAAAGTACATTAAAGATTATTTTTTTCAAGCTAAACTTTTATCAGAATAATGTCATTTTACATAGTGACTTATCTTTTCAGAAGTATAATTTGTATCATAGATTTCTCTAGGCTTTTCAAACTTAAGTTTATGACCATTTTGGAATGGGGCTATTCCTATACAATATGTACAAGGTTTTGTTTTATCTGCAGTTGATTTTAACTGCAAGTTTTTGCACATGTTTGGAAAATCCTATGTTAATACTCTGTCAATCTGTGCTAAAAATGCTTTTTTCCCCCTTATAAAATGTGTATTAATAATAACACAAACTAAATCTTTTTTTGGTAATTAATATTCAAAATTGTATAATTTTAAAAAGCTCTTTGATAGCCTTCCATAAAAAATTAAGGAAAAAATTCTAATAGTGATTGAGTTATTAATATTCCACAAATAAAAATAAGATCAAATAACAAAATAGCACATGCGGGATACAAAGTCAATATTCAGAAATCAAAGGCATTTTTGTACACCAGCAATGAAATAGAAGAAGAAGAAATCAGGAAAAAAATACCATTCGATATAGCAAGAAGAAAAATAAAGTACCTAGGAATAAATTTAACCAAAGAGGCAAAAGACCTGTACGCAGAAAACTATACAACATTGAAGAAAGAAATTAAGGAAGACACAAATAAATGGAAGCATATACCGTGTTCATGGATTGGAAGAATTAATATCATCAAAATGTCCATACTACCCAATGCAATTTATAGATTCAATGAAATCCCTATTAAAATACCAATGATGTATTTCACAGAAATAGAACAGACATTTCAAAAATTTATATGGAACCATAAATGACCCTGAATAGCCGCAGCAATTTTGAGAAAGAAAAACAAAGTAGGAGGGATCACAATACCGGACATCAAACTACATTATATAGACACAAACTAAATCTTACCTTTAAATGTACCTGCATTAAAAGGCTAAAGCCAAGGACTTTTAAATATTTTCATTTAAGGGACTGTTTGAAATGTATCTAAAGAAAATGGTTATTTTCTAAACTTTTGAATTTGGAAAAGAGATTCAGATTATGATTGGTTTTTAACCCATTGATTAGGATGATCTAGTAAACTTTTTCATCTGGAATTTATCTTATTATTTCTTCACCGTAAAGTTTCAATTCTCTGTTAATTTCTTCCTGGGAAGAACATATTAGCTTAAGATTTCAGCTGTAGCACAATTTCTCTGATCTATGTAAGTTACCACAGTTAACCATCTGAGCCTTAGGCTTTTGCAGCTATACAATGGGATTATTTATTATTTAACATGTTGTCATTTCCAACTTGCTCTCAGTGCCATGTAGACAAGCATAGGCCCTGCTTTTGGAGATTTCCAACCCAGAAAAACTAATAATATACAGACCCACACACATAGAATTGTAGGTCAAAGAATACAGGAAAGGAAAACGAGAATGTTTTATAATAATGAATACTACATAGTTTTATGTACTTCATATATTTCCCAAGTTAAATAAACTAAGTAGGATAGAAAATGAATTTGAACTAGAATATATTTTATCTATCCTTAAAAAGTTGTCATGAATACTTACTAAGAAAAATAAATTTCATTCTATTAAGAAAACATTAAATCTTAATAATGCCCCTTTCCTTCTCTCCTTTGCAGAATATGCATGTAACTGCTCTGTGATCGGAAGCCTGGATGTGAACCGCTGCAACCAGACCACAGGGCAGTGCGAGTGTAAACCAAGTTATCAGGGGCTTCGCTGTGAAACCTGCAAGGAGGGCTTGTACCTAAATCACACTTCTGGTCTCTGTCTGCCATGCAAATGTAGTCCACATGGAGCCCTGAGCATATACTGCAACAGGTAAGCAGCAGCAGGTTGAAGTTAATTTTATATGATCAAGAAAAATAAGATTCATGCTCTTAAGCTCCAGGCTGCTTTAAATAAAAAGGAAGACTTACAAAATATTGCATATCCTTTTATTCTCTCATTTTTTTATATTATATTATATTATATTATATTATATTATATTATATTATATTATGTTATATGACAAGATTGCAAAGTTTCTAATTTACTGATTTAGTTCTTCAGAAGCACTTGGGTCACCAATTTGGCTTGGCGATGGTTTCTCTAAGTTTCATGGAAAAACATTATTGAGAGAGCAGTCTTCTTTCTGGAAGCAGTAAGGTCCAGGCATTTCCAATGGAAACAACCATGTTTATTAATATGCCATTGGAGTTTCAGGAAATGTATTCTTTATTTTTGACTTATAAAAATTTTAGAACTGCTTCTTTGCACATCTAAGGCTTAAATTTGATAATATGTTAATTTCTTTAACTAGTGGGAAAAAGACCAGTTTCACTCTATGTACCAGCACATTCTTGGAGACCAAAACTAGATTAAGCAGGAATTGTTTGAAAATTACCTTTAAAATAGTGTGTTACTTGGAGGTGACTTAAACTAGGAAAACAGTACCTCAAAATATGAGGATTTACCTTCTCCTACACTGAAAATAATTATTCTTTGACCTTTTATGAGGCGTGTAGCTTTTTGTGGACTCCAAGCCAAAAAGCTGAAGAGACAATGTTATGTAAAGAAAAGAACACAAGCTTTAGAATAATCTAACCTGGGTCTGGATCCACGATTTGTTGCCATTAAGGACCTGTGTGTTTTTGGCAAGTGATTTCATTTCTTGCACCTAGTTTGTTTTCAAGCTTGTTGTGAATGTTATATGAGTAGAATGTATATAAAATTCCTAGCATACATCACAATAAATTCTGGTTTGCTTTAATTTCAAAGGCATGTTATTGGCTTAATGAGGGAATTTTTTTAAGGAACTTTTAGTTCCATGGCAGATAAAGTTCTTTATACTTACCAGTAGATTTTTTGTATGCTTTATGAATCACAATGTGATTTACAATACTATATCATATCACACTTCAAAATATAGAAGTGAACTTGATTAAGAAGTTTATAATTTCAAGTGCAACAAAAATAAATTTATGATGCTTATTAACATAGTTATTTGCCGTAACCCTCATAACAACTCTTATTTATTTGTTTATTATCTTCACTCAAAGACATGTTTTCATTGCTTTTAGAAAGAGAGAGAGGGAGAGAGGGAGGGAGAGAGAGAAACACTGATGTGAGAAATATCAACTGGCTGTCTCCCATATGCTCCTTGCCCAGGGGTCGTACACACCTGGGCCAGGGATCGAAGCCCCAACCCAGACATACACCCCAACCAGGAACCCATCCAGTAACCTTGCAATTATGGGACAATGCTCTAACCAACTGAGCCACGCCAGTCAGGACAATAACTCCCTTTATGTAGGTTATTAAATCACAAAGATTGTAAGTGGCAGAGAAAGAATTACAAATTAGGTCTCCCAATTCCAAGTCCAGTGTCCTTATCATCATGCCATATGGCTGTTATAATGAGAAAACTGGTAATCACTCTGTTATCTGAGGTTAAGGACATAGTAGTTGCTCACCATTTCTTCCTTTACTCTCCCAAAACATACCTATACCAGTTATATTCAGAAGGTTCACATTTCTTACCATTTTAAAAGATGAGATTTGTTCATTCTGGTGTCTTATGGCATGTTCACTACTAATATTAGAATAAGATTCTGCAAACACGTTTACCTTGAGTAGTTCTGGAGAGATAGAAAAGTGTTTACTTCTAAACTCGTACATAAAAGAAGCCTTTAGAAGGATTACATGGGAGCGAAGCAAGACATTTCTTACTACCAGACAGGAAGTTAGGTTGACCTGAGACTAGAGGACTGGAAAGGGGACGTTGTAGGACTATGTGTTTTGGCAAAAACATATGGGAAACTATAAGGAAATACCTCTCTGTTGTGCTTTGCTGTAAATTTTGTATAGGTGTTAAGAGAGAAAGGATATTTCAGGCAAGTAGTGTGAGGTCGTGGAAAGGAAGTGGAGTCTGAAATTAGTAGATTTTTAAACCAAACCCATTCTTGGTTTAGCCATTTACTTACTATACAACTTTGATTAAGATGTTTGGCTTCTCTAAGCCTCAGTGTTTTCATCTTTAAAATAAAATTAATGTATATAACAAAGGATTCCTGTGAGAAGTGTGTGTGTGTGTGTGTATCCACTTACATTGTGATAGGTACATAGATTCAACTTTATAACTTCCTAAGAGTTGAATCTATTTTTTTAAAAAAGCAAGGGATAGAATTGGCGATTCACACATGAGAAGGAGGAAGTCAATCAGACTTGGCTATTAGTAGGGATTGAGGTATTTGTTTTTGTTGGTAGGTTAAAGAAGAAATTGTTCATTTTAACAAGAAAAAATTAGATTCTTTTCTTCCATTTTCATAAGGAAACCTATTAAACACTTTATAATTGGACATTTTATATTTTAGAATAATAATCATAGCTAAAATTAATCAAACACTGCCAGGAGCTATTCTAAGCTATTTGCATATAGTAATTCACTTAATTATCACAGCAACAATATCAGGTTGACATTATTATTATTCTCATTTGCACAGGAAAAATATTGCAAATTAGGTAATTTGCCTAACTTACAAGGTAATAGCCAGTAAGTAAAAGAGTTGGTATTGGAATATTTGCAATCAGGATCTAGGATATGTGTTCCTATTCACTATGCTCGTGCAGCTTTTTTCAAAATCTCAGATACTAAGCAAAGTGAGTGAGTATTGTTAAGAACCTTTGATATTATGGTGCGGACTATTTAGTAATATCTTATGGTTGTATTCTGGTAATCAGATCCTGACTCCAGTGTGATGCTCACACTATATAAATAATTTCTTGGTTACCAATCCATTTTAGCTTAGTAGAAACTAAGAACATCAGAGGATCAGCCCTTCAATGAATAATTATCGATGACAATATCTGTTATAGTGCCATCTCTTTATGTTCGGTCTGCTTTTTAAAAAGATTTTTACTTACTTATTTTTAGAGGGGAAGGAAGGGAGAGAGAGAAGGAGAGAAGCATTGATGTGTGAGAGATAAACTGATGGATTACCTCTTGCAGGCCCCCAACTGGGGACGTGGCCTGCAACCCAGGCATGTGCTCTGACTGGGAATCGAACCGGTAACCTTTTGGTTTGCAGGCACTCAATCCATTGAGCCATGCCAGCCAGGACTGTGTTCAATCTGTATGAATTAAAAAAAAAAAAGAAAAAGAAAAAGTGAGGAGTAGAATTGGTGACCCACAAAAGAGAACTAAAAACTTTGGAATGAAAACAATATGGTTTTGCTCTTGTGAAGAAAATTTATGCAAGACCAAAGGACACAAAACTACTAAAACCAATACAAAACAGTGTAAAATTTCTAAATTTTAGAGTGGGAGAAGAACAGGAATGAGCTGAAATAATAAGGAAAGTCTTTTAAGAGAAGGTGAGAACTATAATGTACCTTCCAAAATATGATTTGGGAAGTTAGAGAGGTGAGAAGACCTTATCAGGAGAAAAAAACATGCAAATTTAAGTGAATTTTATAAGATTATACAATCAGATGAGAAATCTGATCTTCTAACACCTACTCAGATTCTTCTGTTTTAAACTCCCTGTTCTCTTTTTAAAAATAAATAAAAGTAGAAAAGTGGACTCAATTCTGTCCTGATTCTCTCATATATCAAACAAAGCCCATCGAACAAACAACTGGCTTTTTAAAAATTCATTTCTATGTTCTTTATACCCATATATTTCAGTGGGAGTTGTCCCAGTGAGGGTAGAATTTGGCTACAGGAGCCAGATGTGGGTTGAGCAATGTCTTTGTGTGTAACAACAAAGTTCTTTATGTACTGACAGATGGCCACCCCCTCACATCACCATTGGTGTTCCAATCTGTTTAACTGGGACATAGTTGGTTTATAATATCCTAACTTTTCATTTTTTCTTTAAAATTCATTTCTAATGTTTTCCTGATTTACATTTGGACATATGTTTAATAAATTAATGGAGAAATCATGTAGCAGAGTAGTATGCCTAGTGAGAGCCTGAGTCTCTTAATACAACTCTTAACATATTTCAGGGCTGACTTTATATCTTGGCAATTGTATACATACTTGAGACGAAGAAAATGTATTCATAGTGTATTAGTATACAAGCCGTATCACTTAAGACTATCTCTGTAAGATAGCAAAGAAGCTCTGTAGTGGTGTAATATCCTTTTCATAAAATCTGTGGTTGCTCCTATACAGTATATTTTGAAATATTTACTACTTTACATTTTTAATTATGGGACTGTGCCCCAGAACAGAGAGCAAAATTTTACTCATGAAGTAAACTCATGCTGAAATAAATGTCAAGTAGAAAGATGACAAAACCTCCAAGGCTCACATTCATATGGGGCTCTGAAAATCATCTCTTGTATAATAATTAGGAATAACAGCTGCTTGTGTAATCTCTTATTTATTACTTTGCCATAATTCTGAGAGGTCAAGAAAAAGTTATGTGATCACTAGGTATAATTAATAACTGAGGAAAGCTTTGTCATTTTATTCACTTGTTTCATTTAATAAAGACATTGCATTTGCTGATTATGTGTCCAAAGATATGATCCCTATGCTCAAGAAACTGACTGCCAGAGGAAAGATAGAAATGCATGTAAAATATGAATATTCATAAAGTACACAGGCAATTCATGGAGGTCTTGAGAGAGGAAGTGGCATCTAAATTGAGACTTAAAGGATGAGTAGAAGTTTGTATGAAAGAATAAGGCATCTTTAGTAGATTGCAAGTGGTTTATTATATCCTGAAGGCAAGGAACACTTGGTAATGGTGGAGAGGAGGGGTTGAAGGAGAGTGGGGGATGCTAAGAGATGAGACTTTTGTCTGTTTACTGTTGTATCTCTAACACCT